ATAAATATTATGAAATAGTTATTAGAATAGTTTTAGTAAATGCTACAAAAATACGTAATATATTATAATCCAAATAAAAAATACTTATTAGAAATATTTATTTATATTTATCATAAATATTGCATAAAATATTTAGTCTATATTTTAATAATATTTCGAATAAAGCTTTATATAAAATATGTATAAAATATCTATATAACATTTAAAAAAATGAATATTAATAAATATTTATCATAAATATTCTGTGCTATCTGGGTTGTTTGCATCGCATACTCCACATGCTTCAATATGTTCCTACTATAGTTCCTACTCACTCTAACGAGCGCGTTTGAGTGAGTAAGAACTATGGTTGGAAGAAGTAGGAGCATGTTAAGCATGCGACGCGAACAAACCTAAAGTCGTTCGTCTATAGGAGCCTAACTAATGCGAAAAACAAATTCGATTTGCTATGAGCTATCTGAGATTTGAAAATAACAAAAACAAACAACGTGCAACATTACATCGATTACATGCAACATTAAACTAAATGCGAGAATTTGAACCGTATTTCATTAATTCCAAGCTATTCGCTGAAAACGATATCATTGCTGATTCATAATTCATTGTGGAAACAAAATTTTTTTTCAGAAATTATAGTTTTTTTACACTATTATGTCGTAATATCGCCGTAAATAATTATATGTGTGAGAGTAGCACAACGAGATAATTTGTATTACTTATCATAAAATCAAGTATTCAATCTAAACTACTTAATAATCACACTTACGTGCTAGACATGATGAACACATCATGTGCACGACGAGTGGTCGCTATTTTTTTCTACAATCCCAATGTAATTGATATTACATATTTGATGCGAGCACTGTTTTTACATTGACTTATAAGGCGATGCTAAAGCCTCCTGTCTTACCACATTTCCATTCGGTGAAAAATCTCTGTATTGGATGTACGGATTGCAAAAGTATTATTGCTTAAATTAAAGTACGCACAAACAGGACTTCAGCTGCACTGGATTTCATGAGAAAATCGAAAAAAGTTTCAGATTCGTTAAAAATTCACTTACTTTTGGCTCGTACAGCTGTCACCTCAGACATATATATTTGCTTGATAGAAGTGTTAAAGCTGTGTATACACCTAGCGAACGAACACCGAACGAACAGCAAACGTAAAAATTTGTATTGTTGTTTGTTACATAAAAGTCGCACAAGTTTAATTGCTACATGG